CGGATGCATGTGGCGGTGCATGCCTATTACCTAGCACTAGGCGGTAGAGGCAGGAAAATTGAGTTCAACGGCAGCCTGGGTTACACAGTAAGTTGGAGGCCAGTCTATCTCAGCTATCCAGTATGTCTCCAATTAAACGGCAAGAATAAGTGCAGGATGCCAAATATTGCTACACTGAAATTAGTCTTGGTCCTTTTTGGGGGGATGGGGGTTGTTTTTTGTTTTTCCCTTCAAGACAGGGTTTCTCTGTGTAGCCTTAGCTGTCCTTGGCTGTCCTGGAACTTGCTCTGTAGACCAGGCTGGCCTCGAACTCACAGAGATCCACCTGCCTCCCCTTTATAAAAATACTTAATAATTTTTATTTTAATCAATGTGTATTATGTGGGAAAGATGTGTGTATGTAAGTGCTGGTGCCCTCAGAGGCCAGAGGCACACCAAATCTTTGGGTGCCAGGAACTGAACCCAGATTCTCTGGAAAAGCAGTCCATGGTCATAGCCTCCAAGCCACCCCTCCAGCCCAAGTTTTGGTCCCATTTTTTCAATTCTCTGATTTCAAGTGATTTTGTGTTTTTCCTTCTCCCTAAGATGGCCCCATGCACAAGTCATTCCAAAGCATGCTGGGGTGTAGTGGCCAAGGGCCACGAAGCCATAAACAGCCAGAAGAGCTTGCAGGACTGGCCTGGCCATCAAAGCCGAGGTGGGCTCCAGAATGACAGGTTTATGAAGAAACAAGAAAAGTTGCGCAAATAACCAATGTTCCTTTACGGAAACTTCCAGGTCTCTGGCTTTCTGGAAAAACACACTGTGGAAAACTTGACACCTTGCTTCATTAAGAGGCAAACAGGCAGGAAATCAGAGGAGTCAGGGGTTGGGAGGCGGCAGGCCCTCTCTGTGGGGTTTGAGTTAGGTAGGTCTCTTCAATTAAGTATCCCTTGAATGATGACAGGGCTCAGTGAGTAAAGGCCATCACCTTCCAAGACTGATGGCTTAAGTGTGATTCTCTAGGACCCATCTGGTGGAAGAAAAGAACCAGCTCCTTCCCACAGGTTGTCCTTTGACCTCCACATGATACACCTACACACACACACACACACACACACACACACACACATCAATAAGTTTGTTTTGTTTTTAAGTAGGTCTCTCCTTTCAGTTCTGAGGGATGCAAAGCTACAGCTTGTTTCCACACAGCACCTCAGGGCAAATGCTGGTAGGTGCATTTGTTTAGAAGTCCACATAGCAATGAAAAAAAAAAACACCAAAAGGAGATGCCCACACAGGGACCAAGACACCCAGCACTGTCCCATGAAGGCCCAGGTGAAGTCTCAAGTAGACAGGTATCAGGCAGGCGGATATACCAGGAAGGGGACCAGCCCCAGGAGAAGGGACCTCCCATGCTTCTCGAGCCAGGAACCTGGGCAGGTTTAGCGCAAGAATTATGCTTTAGGGAACAATGTTTGCCAAGCTGAAAGCTGCAATTTTCCTCAGTCCCAGAAGCCCCTGGGGCTCCACAGAATTTCTAAATTCCCACTGTCACCAAATAAACATCCTATGGGTGTCAACCTTAATTGCCCTGTTGTGAAAATCTCTATTGCACCATCATTTACATTGGATGGGTCACCTCAGGGGCCACCAGGCCACAGCCTCCTTCTGCGTGCACCAGAGAGATCAGGAGAGCAACAGGGCAGGACCACACATTCCAAAGGCCGGCTTTCTCTTTCTCCTTTTCACCCCCTTTCCTTCATCTTTTGGGGGGCGGCATGCATAAGTATATGTTTATGTACAAATGTGTACGGATGCCAGAGGTCAAGTTTGGGACTCTCCCTCCCCACCTTAATTTTTTGAGACAAGATCTCTCAGCAAACCCGAGGCTCACTGATTGGACAAGGGGAGCTGCCGGCCAGTGAACGCCTGCCCCGGGAGCACAGGCACACACTAGTATAGCTGGCTTTTGTCACGGGTTCAGGTATCGAACTTGGGTCCTCATGCTTGCAAACATTTTACCAACTGACCCATCACCCCAGCCCTCAAAAAAAAAAAAAAAAAAAATTAACATCAAAATGTTCTTTGGATTTAGAGATTTGTCCCTAGTCACTCAAATTCCTTTCTCTTTGCCTCCAGAGAAACAGCTCAAACACTAATTAACGAAACCCCTCAGGGTGGGGTGGGAGGGTTGGAGAAATGGCCCCCTGGTTAAGAGCATTTGCTGCTCTTGCAGAGGACCCAGCATCCACAAGGCAGCTCACAACTACAATTCCAGTTCCAAAAATCTGATGCCTTCTTCTGAACGGAGGGCACCAGGCAGGCATGTGTGCACAAATATACACACAGGCAATACCCATACATATAAAACAAATTAGATGAATCTTTGAAAAAAAAAACAAAAAAACAGTCCACAGGCTACAGCCATTCTTTGGGGTCCTCCTGGGTGTTCTTATTCAGCGCGATGTTGTCATGGGTAATTAAAATTACCTGCACCTGTTAAAAATCAAGGGCATCCCCTCATTAAGCCCCTGTGCCTAACAGCTCCATAATCGTAATCACTCATTCACATCTGCAAAATGTTCCTTATCCATAATAATGATGTACAGCCCATTTATTTTAAGACCAAGAGTCTCTGGAGACTCACGGGCTCGCTTTGTACCTGCTTAGAGGTTGTCTTTCTGAGTAGAATTAGGATTCTGACCACCATTCTCACAGTAAAACTGCATTTAAATAGTTCAAACTGCATCAATTCTATGCGTTTCTACAAGCCAGAATAGTAAGCCAATGGGTGGGGGGGGGGGGGGGGGAACAGGGTTTAAGTGATGTGACACTCCCTTTTAAAAAAAAAAATAATTGATTTAATGTGGATTGGTTTGAAGGTATGTGATCCCTTAGAACTGGAGTTAGAAACAGTTGTGAGCTGTCATGTGGGTGCTGGGAATTGAACCCGGATCCTCTAGAAGAGCAGCCAGTGTTCTTATCCGCGGAGCCATCTCTCCAGCCCCTGGTGACCCTCCTTTTCTAAGCAGCAATGACTAATAAAACCTTTGTCTGTTATTTTTATTTATTTATTTTAGGGTCTAAACTAAGAAGGAAAGGACAAATCAACCTCATGACTCCTGCGTCTACTAACAAGTAGAAGTCGCGGTTGACAAATGAAGAGTTTCCACGTCTGAGGTCCAGCAGACCTACCAAAGGGCAAAAATTCTTACAGAAGCAAATAAGCCTTTGAAGATGAAAGCCTGCTCAGCCAGCCCCAGCTCTCTGACAATGGGAAGGAAGCCCACACACGCTCTGCAGGGTGGCATGGGGGCTGGGTACCACAGTACCAGGTTCCACACAGGGAGAGACCAGTCTGTTCTTCCACACACGTTCCAATGCTGCCTCCACAAACACCTCCTTTTAAGAACTGGGCATTGGCGCCTTCTCTTTACCCATGTAGAAGTTTCTTAGATGGGTCTTAGTGATACCCACACTCTTGGCACTTATGCCCCTGCCTCATCTCCTCCCTGGGGACCCATTTAATAAAAGGGAAGCGCAAAAGGGCTGGGACATTGCTTCCATGAGGAGGTGACAGAAGGCTGACATCTTGGTTCTTCCACTCTGGCTCCTCCGTCTGCTTACCCTGAAGATGACCACTCTCATGTTGTCACTTGCTTTGTGTTGGCCCATGTGGCAAGGAGCAAGACAGTGAATGCTAATGGCAACTGAACACTTCCTTCCCTAGTGTAGCCTTTGAGGGAAAACCCAGCCTTAACTAAAACCTTGCACAGTCCTGGAGAGACCAAGACAAAAGACCCCACCAGGCTGCACTCAGATTTGCAGTAAGACTGTAAAGCCTCAACCTGGAGCAACTTGTTACACAGCAACTGATAACCGATACACCCTCACCTCTTCTTCCAAATGCACAGCAGCAGGCTTTCATAATAAGGTTTCCTTAAATCCTCTTCACACGCAAAATTCTTAAAATTCTATCCATGCTGAGTAATTTGAAAATTCCATCCCTCTCTTTCAAAGAAAAAAATATCTTTCCAACTAATCCTCAAACCTTTCTCTGTTCCTCTTTTTTGTTTATTTTTTTGGTGGTGGTGGTTGTATGTAGCCCTGACTATCCTAGAGCTCACTGTGTAGAGCAGGCTAGCTTTGAACTCAAAGTGATCTGTCTGCCTCTGCCTCCCGAGTCCTCTGATTAAAGACGTGTGCTACCACATCTGGCTGCCTGGTGCTCCTTTCTCCCTCTTCTCCAGTTGTACTAATACCACATTTCCTTCCATGCCCACCTGATGCAACAGGCCCTTGAGACTTCATCTTTCTCAGCAGCCTCCAAACGCCAGATCTTAAGTTGGCCTCCCCGCCAAACCAGGGCCCCTCCGACTGGAGGCCGTGTCCAGCCATGCTCGCTTTAGCTTCTCCAGTGCCTAGACAGTGTCCTATATGAGGACACTCAATCAATGATGCTGAATGGATGCGCAGAACTATACTTAGCATCCCAAAAAGCCCTCTCAGGGATGTCACAGAGATCCTGTTGCCCAATTCCCCCAGTGCCTGATGGGCCATTGAGCATCTCTGGTGATGGAGATGGAGAAGGGGGCGGGGGGGGGGGGGGGGGGGACACGACGGCTTCTGTCATTGTCCAGCATCTCCCCCTATTAACACATACTAGTTCACACTCCCTCCTCTAACCCAAGCTATTCACTCTCAATACAACCCCACCCTCACAGGGCAGCTGCGCCAGTTCAAGTTTTACAGACCATAAAGCATATAGAAAACAGACCCTCAACTTTCGACCCCCTGGTTATTAAACTTTCCTCATGTAAAGAAGAATGCAAATGGGGACTAACTTTAAAATTACAGGGGCGTCCAGGGTGATCTTTTAAACATATCAAACAGTGACGTGATCGATTATAATAATTACGTCTTTTTAAAAATGCATATTCCTTCTGGTCCTGCCAACTTCAGAGGACTTTGAAAAGTAAACATTTCAGAAGTACAGGGCTTTTGAAGCTCAGTCCTACCTTATAGCCTCCGATGCGATGCTCCTGCTTAAACTCCTTCCCGTTTTTCAGCCACCTCATTGTGGGCGTTGGATTCCCCCCAGCGGGACAGCGGAACTTTACAGTGTTGGCGGCGGGGACAGCATGCAGCCGCTTCTCCATCTTCTCTGTGTTGGTCCAGTATGGTGCTCCTGAATCGGAAGACAAATGACAGGCGGTAGATGAAGGGATAGCCTCATCAACCCCAGAAAGGTAAGGCTGCTTTGTGGTGCAAGAAAGGACCTGATTTTCTTTTGACTCTTTGAATAATATTTATGTTAGGAAACTATTTTCAGAAGTCTGGTCCAGCTGGCCTAGCAGAAGGTCCCCAGAGGGGCTGCTTATTGGGTTATGACTATTAACAGGGAAAAAAAAAAAAAGCATCTGAAGCACCTTCTCTCTTGTTCCTGTCCAGTGCCAAAAAATAATTTCATGTCAAATCATGCTTTAAAATGCTACTTTAGATTCACAGAAACAGCCCATGTAATAGCATGGGCTCAGTCCTCCAAAAACACATCATTTTAGATCACCACGCCTATTAAATGGTCATATATACACACTGTAAAAATAAACTGTCCTCGGGGACCACATAAACTTGCCCATCAGAACTTTCTTTCTGTGTGGGCATGAGTATAAAGGGTGTTCATGTGTGTACCGGCACATGTGCATGTGTGTAAGGCCAGAGGTCAACCTCAGGTGACATTCCTCAAGTGCCAAAAGCTAAGTGACTAGTTTTTTGAGACAAAGTCTCTCAGTGGCCTGGAACTTAACCAGCAAGTTAGGCTGGCCCGCCATAGAGACCCCAGGGATCTGTGTGTCTCTATTTCCCCAGGATCGGGATGACAAGCATGTGCCATCATGCCAAGCTTTTTCTAACAAGGGTTGTGGGGATCCAACTCAGGTCCTCATACTTAACAGAGCAAGTCCTTTACCCACTGATCTAACACTCTAGCCAGCCCCGAGCAATCTTGTAAATGGTGATCAATAGCATAAATTATCTTAGCATGATAAAGTGATCCTGGGAGCCATCATTAATTTCCTAGCACCTAATTTGATAAATCAAAATATTGTATTGCTAAGTATAGCTTAATTTTTTAAATGAAAGAGATCTTTTTTTTTTCTTTCCAGTGGTGCTTATGAACACTGTAATCCCCATGCCATGGCTAAGCTTAACAGAAGGCAACTAATCAAATCCTAAATAAGTCACGGCCCCTAAATGGCCCTCACAGTCACAGGTACAAGGGATTTTTTTTTTTTTTTTAAGTTCAGAAAAAGAGGTAGATCTTTCAATGACCAAGTAACAAGTAAAGTACGTTTTATAAACAGGTGCCGCACCATCAATCCAGAATGCTGCTATCAACTCTTTATGCCAGTGCTAACAGCTCGAGGCTACTCCTGACCCAATATTTGTTTGCCAAGCATTGTTCTAAGAGCTTGTACATGCCTAGCATGTGAATCCTCACAGCTCAGTGGGGAGCCATTACCGTCCCTGTTGCAGGTCAAGGAAACTGAGGTACTGAGACCTTACCTGCAAATAGTCACAGCACTAAAAGTCACACAACCGAGATTTAACCAACATCAGTCTGATTGCCCAAGTCCCAATTCCTAGCCCCAGTCTCCTTGCTAACACTGACCAGCTTCACCGAGAAGTCATGCCTTCGAGTGTGCCTTCTAGACACTGAACACTAGATCTGAAACAGTCTGTTAGGGCGAACACTCCAACCTCGAGTGTTGTCCAGAACTTCCGGGCAACAATTATACTTTCCCCATGGTAAGGGGCAACAGGAGTGGCCCGCTCACTCCACAAACCAGAGGCAAAATGGTCCCAGCCAAGGAGTATATTTGGCAGTCTCCCCTCTGGCATCTGCTGGGAGAGGTTCAACCTGCACAGCTAGGCTCTCCTGTTACAATCCCTCTCTGGAATAACTGCCCCTGCCCGGGGCTGTCTTGCCCTTGGTTTTGACACCTGCTATGAGAGGCAGGGCTGGGATGTCTTATCAAGAGGGCACTGTATCTTCTTCATGCTAATGCATTCCCAAGTGTCAAAGTGGTGGGATGTAGGTGGCAACCTCACGACACTAAGACTACAAAACCACAGCTGCTCACCCATTTAGAGCAGAGGGAAAGCGGGGAGGGGGGAGGGGAGGGGAGAGGAGAGGAGAGGGAAGGAGGCCAAGCCAGAAGAAAAGAGGTTGCACTATTTCCTTTCAATCCAGTTGCATTTGCGATATGCATCTTGAGGACCTTGTAGCTAGGGCACTGGATACTTGTAAACACATCTATTCTTCTGAGAGTTCACCAGGGGAACCACTGGACTCCTACTTATCACAAGACCCCAAGGACCTGGCATACCCTGAAACAATCATCTTTCATTTTAAAAGCTTCTACTTAGAAAAAAATCCATCCAAAGCCACTGAAAGCAGTCATTGAGATCCCAAAATAAATAATGAGCTTTGTCCCTACACAAAGACTTTAACAAATCTGACCTAAATGGAAAGCATACCTCATGCTGTCAGGTGTCTGGACTCATGTCATTTGTTTAAGTAAACACAATGGCCTATTCACATGAATTAGCTAAATATTAATGCAGTCACTCTTTCAGATAGCATCAATTACTGCTGGGCTGAGCTCTGGAATGTCCTTTTTTAAAAAAAAAAACATAAAAGAAATCAACAAATAGGTGCTTACAAACCATTAGGCATGATTTTCATGTTCTTTCTCTGAGGTCAAAAAGTAGGAGTTGGCCTCAGGAACTAGGAATGTTCTTTTCTACTCTAAGCCATCCGTGAGGCTGCACCACCGCAGGGGACTGCCCCCCAGCCACGTGCAATGCACTGTCCTGGCTTGTGCCAGCAGCACACTGGCAACCGAAGCCTTTGTCTTGGTAGCCAAGGAATGACTTAAGGAAGAGGATAAAAGAATGTGGCTGGGTTTTCTAACAGGTAGCTGCTTCCCTCAAGGGAAACTGTCGCTAGAAAACATGCTCTCACAAAACAGGCACTGGCCACATACCACAGTCTGGACACTGCTTGCCTCAGCCTCAGAGACCCAAGGTGGGTGGGGGCACCATGAAATCCAATCACTATGAGGCTGTAGCTGGAACTGAATTTCACAACAAGCCTTGGGGAGCCGAAAGGTCACCGAGCTAAGTTGTTCAAGGTGCCAGTGTGCCAGGGAAGGGACGTCCCTATGCTCTAGCGTGCTGCTGATTTTCTGGCCTCCAGCACTCTGCTGAGGGCTACCTCGGGACAACAGTCTTTGCAACTGAGCCTCCTTTAAGATGGCGAGTGTGCATATTTAAAAAAAAAAAATAACATGATGCTTGGAGAAGAGATAAGACTATTATTTCTAACAGTAACATGGCCTTTCCCGATATAAGCTTCATAATCTAGAAAAATAACACTCCTATACAACCATCATGCTGTGTTTCTTTCCTTCTGCAGCAGCCTCCTGTCCTTTGAGACAGTCTTGCTTTGTAGCCCAGGCTAGCATCAAACTCAAGGTCCTGCCTCCTCTTCCCTAGTGCTGGCATCGCAGGTCCAACACCCCGGACTCTGCAGATTCTTCTCCTCAATATTCCCTGCCGTTTCCACCAAGTAACTACGTACAAACGTCCAGGCACCAAAGAGGTAGGATATACAATCAGAGAAACAAGGGCCAAGCATCTTGGAGAAGCCAAGCCAGCCTCTTCCCTACCAAAGCTTGGGAGCATGTCCACAATTCCACATGGAGCAGGAAGTGTTGCCACGGAGTCAAAGCCTGCAGATGCAGAGATGATCCTGGTACCTAGCAGATGGCCACACACTGGCTATTCAACAAACTTACTGGAAAAGAATTGGCAAGACAGCACACAAGGTTGCCTGAAACCAGGACCGCAGGCAGCTGCCTTCTCTGCCTCCCTTGGTATCACCTTAGAGATACGGAGCACACACTCAAAGGCACCGATTTGATAAGAGGGGATTGTGGTTTAGACCTCCAAAGGCCAAAAAAGCGAAGCACACCACGTCACTTGTGAAGTAAATGAATGGACTTCCCTTTGGCTCTGACATTCATAGATCTTCCTCCTGGAGATCACAGCAAAAAGAAAAACAGCCTGCTGGTCACAAAATACGAACAATAAGGAAATCAAACAAACAGTCGATGCAGCATCACAAAGAAGTAAAATCCAGTCAGAAAGATGCAGTCGACCTACTGAGAGCCAAGAGCAGCCGTCCTCCTTTATACCAGCCAGCACTTATCACCTCTGGGTGATCATGCTAAGTAGATTCTCACTCTGCTAAAATGCAACTGAGTTCAGAGAGGCCCTGACTCCACTCAGTCCTTCCAAGGACCCTACGGCCATCCTTAGCCATTCTGTCCCACCACGGAGAAGGTCCGTGCCTCCTCCGCTGTAATGGTTGCTTCCTCATCATGGATGCCAGCTTCCACGCTCAGGGTGTCCATCCTGGAAAGTACACCTGCTGGTGACTGCCAGCTAGCAGGCAGAGAACAAAATAGGCCACAGCTTGAGTTGCAGACAGGGTAGGAGGATGGACAGCTAGGAAAAGCTTTACTATAAACCAAGGAAGCTGTTCTGATAAGGTTCTAATATTCTTCCCAGGCATCTGTGTGCTATGCAGGTATTGATTTTGTCAACAAATGGTAGGACTACAGGGGTTTTTGACCCTGCAATTTAAACTTAATGATAAAACATAAGCTGCTGGGCCTGCCCCATAAAAACCCTTACACGGCCAAGTATTGACATCTAAGGTTTACAAGCTGTTCTCTGTCCAGAACCAAAAGCAAGCACAGCCCCATATTTTAAAGGAAAAACAGAGTCATATTACAATGTTCCTCCATCTGGCCTGATGGCTGACAGGATCAATGTCACCCAGAAAGGTTAAGTGATTTGATCAAGGTCACAAAGCCAGAGGCCGGGCCAAGGCTAGCCCCCAGTCTCCAGATCCCTTAGCAATGCTCTTCAACCACAGCAGGCTGCCCTGTGAACTCTCCCACAGTAATTAAGTCAAAAGTTCAAGATTTATGTGAGCCGGGGACGCTGATGACTGCCAACTTTATTTTTATTGATGCAGAAATTTTAAAACGCACGAGCTGTTTCAGCTCTTAGATCAAGTCTCCCCAGCTCCCTAAAGCCCCACTAAGGCCCCTGCCT